TGATGTGATGTGATGTGATGTGATTGAGATTTTTAGTCTCGCATTAGGATAGGGTGACTGGGCAGAGTAGTCAAATTTTATGTAGAAATTCTTCTGTAACAGTATGTCTGGGCCAACATTTTGTCACTCAAATGTTTGTGAAGATTTGGAATTCTTTATCCTGGAGAATTTTATATACTCCATCGCTAAACGTATTTACGGCTAGGTTGACTAATCTTTCAGGTCTCACGGAATCTAGGGATCTGAGGAGCAAATGGAGAAAGGGGACAGTCAGTCCAAAGATTGTGTGTTTTGTCATTTACTTTTTGGGAAAAATGTTGAAGGTGTGGTGGTGTGTTGCCTTCTCAAACTGCTGTAGTCCTCTGTAGACACCCAGAATGCTGCTAAGGAAGGCATTCCAGGATGCTGACCCAGCAACAATGAAGGAGCGTCGATATATTTCCAAGTCAGGATAGGAAGTGACTTGGAGGGGAACTTGCAGGTGGTGGTGTTCCCATGTATCTGCAGCCCCTGTCCTTCCAGGTAGAAGTGGTCATGGGTTTGGAAGGTGCTGTCTGAGAATCTGTGGTGAATTTCTGCAGTGCATCTTGTAGACAGTACACACTGCTGCTACTGAGCATCGGTGATGGAGGGAGTGGATGTTTGTGGATGTAGCGCCAATCAAGCGGCTGCTTTGTCCTGGATTGTGTCAAGCTTCTTGAGTGTTGTTGGGGCTGCACCCATCCAGGCAAGTGGAGAGTATTCCATCACACTCCTGACTTGTGCCTTGTAGATGGTGGACAGACTTTGAGGAGTCAGGAGGTGAGTTACTCGCCACAGTATTCCCAGCTTCTGGCCTGCTCTTGTAGCCACTGTGTTTATGTGGTGAGTCCATTTCAGTTTCTGGTAAACTCCAGGCTGTTGATAGTGGGGGATTCAGTGATTGAATGTTAAGGGATGATAGTTAGACTCAAACTTGCTGGAGATGGTCATGCCCTAGCAGTTGTGGTGCGCTCTCCTTATTTTGACACATGCCCCCAGATGTTGGTGAGGAGGACTTTCCTAGGTTGACAAAACTGGTTGTGCCTTTGTTGTTTCTGGTGCTGAGGTTGATTCATCTGGTTTTGTATCTTATTTGAATATTTTGGTAAGTGAATTAGTGTAACAGAGTGTCTTGTTTGGCTATTTCAGAGAGCAGTGAACTGGACAGAGAGTTTCTTTTTCCTAGGTTGAAGATGCAAGAAGTCTTGTGGAAGGATGGTCAGTGATGCAAGAAATGATTGGAGATGGTCTTTTCTCTGATTTGAGACTAGTGAGGACAGTGGAGTGTTCATCAATTTGTGTTATTCAGTTTCTTACAGAGGGATGAACCCTGGACAGAGGTGATTTTGGATGGAGATGAAGGGCTAATGATTAGAGACGCAGGACTGAATCTCCCTCCCTGACTCCTGTGTCTTAAATGCTGTTTTTAAAATGACCTGATCATTCATGATTCTTCAATGTTTGCAGATCTTGAGAAAGCCAAGTTAAAAGCTCAGAAAAACAATGACCTGAGAGAGCAGGCGAATCTCTGTAACAGGCTTGGAGAAGTCCTGGCAAGACATGGTAAGTTCTGCTGAGTGCAGGCGGATTTGCTGCCTCCGTGGTTTGTGGATTCTGAGGGTTTACTCTGTAACTGTCCGTTCCCCTCTCTCTCTACCCCCCACTGCAGATTTCACATAAGTCCCGAAGTCAGCACACTCCTAAACCTGAATTTTAACGCAGAATAAAAACAGAAGTGCAAATACTGGAGATCTGAAATAAAAACAGTTAGTGCTGGAGATTTTCAGCAGAGCCGGTGGGGAAAGAGAGACAAAGTGATGCATGTTGGTTGCAATATTCTGTCTCTCTGTCTTCCCCTCGCCCCCCACCCCCCCCCCCCCCCCTTCACCAAAAAAAAACAGGCAGATTCTGCCAGACCTGCTGAGTTTCTCCAGCACTTTAGTGTTTCTTAAGATTGAAGGCCTCGGGCAGTATACTCCTCTGTTGCCCAGTGATTTTTTTTTTGTGCGGGGGTGTGGGTACAGTCTCTGGAGAGATTGGGAATGTAGACATTGAACCTGTGTCTCTCAGGTTCTGTGCCTAACAGCACGCTGGTGCTGCCGTGTGACTGCACAGTCTGTGTGTGGAGTAGAGACCATCAGTACAGGGTTTATCCACCCAGCTCTTTCTCCGTGGACTATGGATTCTACAATGTTTAATCAATGAAAGGTTTTAAAATGTTTTAATTATTGTGTTTATTCACTGAATTAATTCATCGTTCCTGTCTTGTTGACCGCCTCTCTGCCCCTGCCTCCCCCATCCCCTCTCTGCCCCATCCTGCTGTTGCCCCCCTGCTCCCTCTCCCAACAATTCCCCCTTCCCCCCCGCCCCCACCAGGTGAGTTTGAGGAGGCTATCAGAGAGCACCAGCAGGAGCTGCAGTTGTCAGAGGCGCTCAGTGATGTGATAGGCCGTGCGATTGCTAACAGGAAGATTGGAGAATGCCTGGCTGAGATTGGGAACTACGCAGGTGCCCTGAAGGTAAGGAACAGGGGCCCTTGTACAGCGTGTTGCTGTGCCTGGTGCTTTAGCCCTGCTCTCAGCATCGTATTGTCTGAAAGTAGCCCACACCACCACAGATCAGTCTCTCACTGCCCCACATGAGGAAACATCCTCTCCACGTCAATCCCCTTTATTGTCTTATAGACCTCATTAAATCCCCTCTTGTTCTTCTAGACTCCAGAGAGAATAGACCCAAACAGCTCAGTCTCTCTTCAGAAGACAAACCCCTCATCTCTGGAATCAATCTAGTGACCCTCCTCTGAAATATCTCCAGTATAACTACCTCCGTCCTCAAGTAAAGGGACCAAAACTGTTCACAGTACTCCCAATGCAGTCCCGCTAATGCCTTGTACAATTGCAGCAACTCCTTCCTACTTTTATACTTGTTTTCTTTAACAATAAATGCCAAGCCTCCATTTGCCATCCTGCAGCATCAGCGCAGACACCTTGAACTGGCCCGGTCAGTCAGCAACGACATCGAGGAGCAGCGAGCCTGGGCTACCATTGGTCGAACGTATCTGTACATCTATGAAACGGACCAGTCGCGTGAGTCGCTGAAGGAGGCAGAGAATGCATTTAGGAAAAGCCTGGCCATTGTGGATGAGAGGCTGGAAGGTAGGGATGGAATGGGCGGTAGGTATCGACCTGTTGCTGCTCACTCCCATGCACTGTGTGTATGTTTCAACACAGACAGGCTCTGATTTCCAAAGTGCCTACCACCACCAGCGGATATCCCAAAACCCTTTCCATTGTGGGGAGAGAGGAGGTGGCTGTACATTGTAGTGCACTAACAGTCCAGAGACCCTCAGGCTGATGCTCTGGGATCATGGGCTTAAATCCAACCACAGCAGCTGGTGGATATGAAATTCAATTCGTAAATCTAGGATAGAAAGTCATATCAGTAAATGTGAGTAATGTAACTATTATCGATTTTTTTTTTAACAACAATCTGCTTCACGGATGTCCTTTCAGTGGACGTTTGCCACTGGGCAGCGGAAATCTTTATTATTACAATAATTGTGGGGTCTTCAGTATGCAGATGGTTTGGGAAAAGCAGGTTGGTAATGGATTCCCAAAAAAAATTTTGTGGAAAATTTGTAAATGTTTTTTTTTTTTGGAGCAGCCTGAAAGGCCTCGCTCCTATCCCATTGGCAGCAGCTGGTCCATACCCTCACAGGTTACAGTGCTTCAGGTACAGCCCCTGGTTCTTTTTAAATGAATTGAAAGTTTATACCTCAACCACCAAACTGGGCAGCAAATTCCAGAAACTCTACCTCTCATTCTGGATGAGAAGGTTTTCCTCTTGTCCCTCTAATCTTTCTGCCTGCCACCTTAAATCTGTGCCTCTCCACTAGGGGATACCTGTTTTCCCTGTTCACTCTATCCAAACCCCATATTGTTTTGTACACCTCCATTGTCACCTGTCAGGTTCCTCTGTTCTAACAGCCTGAACCTGTACAATCTTTCCTCTGACCTGAAGTTTTCAAGCCCTGGCACATTGCTGTACATCTGGTGAATTAGCTGAAGTTCTGTAGAGGAGTTATACCCCAAACTTAAAAACGTTAACTCTGTTTCTCTCGCCACATGTACTGCCAGAGCTGTTGAGTTTCTGTAGCATTCTCTGTGTTTGTTTCAGAACTCCAGGATCTTCAGTATTTTTATCCTTGTGAATCTCCTCTGTACTCTCTCCAGAGCAATTATGACCTCCCTGTAATGCATTGACCAGAACTGAGCACAGAACTCCAGCTTTAACCCAATGAGAGCATTTGGTTCGGGCATCACGTCCTGGCTTTTGTGTTCAATACTTCACCCAATGAGGGATAGTATCCTGTGCCACCTTATCTACCTGTCTTGTCACCTTTAGGGGCCTGTGAATGTGCCCTCCAAGGTCTCTCGCTTCCTCCACTTCTCAACACCCATCCTATTATCAGTTGTCACCTTGCTTCATTCCCCCTCCGCAGTAGCTTGTTGGTGGAATCTGTCTGTTTTTCCTACCTCCCAGGTAAGGCTTCCCGCCACGAGTTGAGTGAGATGCGAGCCAGACTCTACCTGAACCTGGGCTTCCTCTACGACAACCTGAAAGAGGCGGATAAATGCAACCACTACATCTGCAAGAGCGTCTTCATCGCTGAGTACGTACTGCCTGTGGGCTAGGGTGCTGTCTAATTTGGAAAGTAGAAGTAAATGATAAAGGAGGAGGTGTTAAGTTGGGTATTTGATTCGCTAAGGGATAGATTGGATAGCTTAGTGGTGAACAAATAGTTTTCCTGTTGAGGGAAGTGTGCTGTGAGATATCCCAGGATTCAATACAGCAATTGCTGCTTTCCTGCTTAAACACAGACTCTGTACTTGGCAATAGGGAGCACGAGCTTGAAGTTTGACAGTGATGTTATTTACTGTGTTGCTGGACAGAAGGACTGACTGAAATTGGCAGATACACTTGAATGGATAAGTATGAAATGACACAATTTGGACAAAACCTGATGGAGAGGCAGAATCGTGTGAATGGTATTAGCTCAGTTGGCTGGATGGCTGGTTTGTGATGCAGTGAAGCCAACAGCGTGAGTTCAGTTCTCGTGCTGGCTGGGGTTACTGAGAAGGACTCTCCTCACCTTGCCTGAGGCATGGTGACCCTAAGCTTAAACTACCACCGGTTCCCCCCACCTCTCTCGCTCGCTCTCTGCCCTATGGTCTGGTAACATAAGGCGGTTTTATCCTTCATTTAATATTTTGAGGGAAATGTAGCGGGCCCTTAGATAAGACAGTTAAAATGTCTGTAGAATACATGCGTTTTAAATAGAGACACTGAGCACATAATTCCTGAAGCTCCTCAGCCCTGGAACCATTTGAGTGAACCTTGGCTGCACTGTTTTCTATGAAGTCTCACTTTTCGAGCCTTTCTGTTTTTCTTGAACCCAATAGCTTTTCTCTATTCAAGTGAATCTCTGCTGTCCCCTCACTTCAACCTCAGTATCCCTCCTAGAATGTCGAGCCCAGAGTTGTAGTGATTTCCAGCAGGTTGTAACTCTGCTCACGAGGGAGATGGAGTTACGGTCACGCTGTTTCCCTGGCCCCCTCGAAGTGACTTTCATTGATGATATCTCACACTCTTTCCCCCGTCAGGCAGAACCATCTGTACGAGGATCTATACCGAGCTAATTTCAACCTGGGCAGTATCCACTGGCGCAATGGCCAACACTCCAAGTCTGTCCGCTGTCTGGAAGCTGCCAAGGAGTGTGCCAAGAAAATGAATGAAAAGTTTATGGAGAGCGAGTGCTTTAGCAGCATCGGGCAGGTGAGTGAGAGAGGGAAGTGCAGCACCAAGTGCAGGTGCTTCAGCATTGAGCAGCTGAATGAATGAATGCCTCAGCAGAAGGAAAAGCTGGGTGGAGGAAGGGTGTGAGATGGAGAGTGTGCACACTACTGTCCCGGCAGCACAACGCAGATGGTTGGGATTGGAGTGAGTGAGGGAACATCTTTCAGAATTAAACTTGGTCCAAATCGTAATGAAACAAAAGGCCGAGTACAGTAAAAGTCACTGTAAAGCTGTTGGATTTATGAAAACCCAACAAGTTTGCTAATATCCTTTTGGAAATCTGTCCTTATCCAGCAAAGATCTGACTCCAATCTCTCTCCAACAGCGTTGTCTGTTAACTGGACTACTAGGCCTGAGTTATAGGGAGAGGTTGGCCAGGGTAGGACTTTATTCCTTGGAATGTAGGAGAATGAGAGGGTGACCTTATTGAGGTGTATAAAATCATGAGGAGGATAGATAGGATGAATGCATACAGTCTTTTCCCAAGGGATGGGGAATTGAAAACTAGAGGGTGTAGGTTTAAGATGAGAAGGGAAAGATTTAAAAAGGATTTGAGGGCAACAGAGACTGGTGAGTACATGGAATGGGCTGGCAGAGAAAGTGGTTGAGGCAGGTACAATAGCAACATTTAAAAAACATTTGGATATTTACATGGATGGGAAGGGTTTGGAGGGATATGGACCAAATGCAGGCAATTGGAACTAACTGAGTGGGCACCATGGTCAGCATGGACCAGTTTGGGCTGAAGGGCCTGTTTCCATGCTGAATTACTTTATGTCTCTATAAAGAGGAGCCTGTGGGTGTACTGTACTTGGATTTCCAGGGGCCTTTGACAAGGTGCCACATAAATGGTTACGGGTGTAAAATGAGAGCTCCTGGTGTTGGGGAAACATTGGCATTGATAGATTAGCTGCCTGGAAAAACAAAACCAAGAAAATGCATAAATGAGTAATTTTCTGGTTGGCAGGATGTAATGAGTTGGGTCTGTGCTGGAACCACAGTTGTTTATAATTTACATCAATGAGTTGGATATAGCTACATTTACAGATGACACAAAGGTAGTTAGGAAAGTATGTTGTGAACAAGACATAAGGTTTCACTGAGATTGAGTGGGCGGATGAGTATAACACGGGAAAATGTGAAATTGTTCACTTTAAAGAGAAGAATGTAAAGGCAGGGTATTACTGAAACGGAGAATGTCAGCAGACTTTCAAGGTGTAGAGGGATTCTAGTGTGGGAGTCACAAACAGTTAGTTTGCAGGTAACAGAAGTAATTCAGGTGAATGGAATACTGTCCTTTTATTATGAGAGGAATTGGAACGTTACGGATGTTACGCTTCAGTTATACGGGGTATTGGTGAGACCTCATCTCAAATACTGTGTGCAGTCTTGGTCTCCTTATTTAAAGAAGGATGTCACTCCATTGGTGGCAGTTCAGAGGACATTTACTGATTGATACCGCGAATGAACAGGTTGTTTTAATGGTGGAGCAGATTCGATGGGCGGAATGGCTTACTCCCACTCCTAGGTCTTATTATTATGGTTTGATGAGGAAAAGTAGGACAACCTGGGCTTGTTTGTAATAGTGTCTGTTCTATCAACGTAATCTGAAAATAGTTGATAAACTACATCTTGTAAAGTACAAAAAACTCTTCTCTTTAGAGCAGGAAGTGGTTTTGCTCCACCTTGTGAGACTAAGTGGGCCCTGGAGTTTCCTACATTTTAAAGAAGATGATGGTAGCAGCCTTTTTCCTGACCAGTAGATCATAGAGCACAGTGAGCTGGCCTGTCCAGTCCTCATCAGCCACACCCTCGTCCTCCATTAGCCTTGCAGTGTAAAATGGTTTGACCTGCAATCACTCGCCTTGGCGTGGGGCTGCCACCAGATCAATTTGTTCCACCTTCTCATTGGTTTTCTTTATTCTTTCATGGGATGTGGGTGTCACTGGCACTTGTTGCCTGTCCCTAATAGCCTGGCATGCTAGGCCATTGAGAGGCAACCACATTGCTGTGGGTCTGGAGTCACATGTAGGCCAGACCAGGTAGGGATGGCTGTTTCCTTCCCTAAATGGCATTAGTGAGCCAGGTGGGTTTTTTACAACAGTTGACAGTGCACAATTAACTTGCACTAGCTTTTAACTCCAGACTTTTTAACAAATTCAAGTTTCACTGTCCATCATGGTAGGATTTGAACCCATGTCCCCAAACCATTAGCCTGGGATTCTAGTCCAGTGACATTACCACAAAGTCACCACCACCACTGCCTTATGCTGGAAGACACTCTGGCACAGGTTGATACTTAACCTTGCTACTAGTACAGGGGTCCCTGATTTAAGAAAGTCTAATTTTTGAACACTCGTATTTATGAAAGCGACCCTGTACAGGGGTGTAATTTTAAAGACCCCCGATACATGAACATTGCCTGTATTTATGTACGGTGCCTTTGTCCTGCATGTTCCTTGCATCGACTTAAGTACAAATTGCCTTGTGAGCAGACTCCAGAGCGGAAGCTTTTCACAACTGCTAGACCAGAAGATTTTGATTATGTTTTACAATATATTTCAGGCATCATACATTGTCTTCCTCATGTATAAAAGATTGGAGAATTCCGTAATTTGATCAAAGCATTTGAAAGGGTAGATAGTTTCTCTCTATGTCCTCTGGTCAAAGGAGAGTTGCAGACCAGGGCATAATCTTCAAATTAGAGCCAGGCAATTGGGTTTGGAGTGTCAGGCTGAAGGGTCTCTTCATTCGTACGTGTCATCAGTGAGTGCACTGACCTGCTCCGATGGATATCTGTCTCTGCGAGATTCAGTGCTATGCAGGTGCTGAATACGTGTTTGTGAGTGTTAACCCCCACACTGTGCCTCCCAGGTCTTCCTGAACCTCGGAGACTTTGTGGCTGCAAAGCGTTCCCTGAAGAAGGCGTTTACACTGGGATCCCAGCAGCAGGCAGAGCGAGACGCAGTCAGGAGGAACCTCAAAAACGGTGAGTATCTCCCAGAGCAGCCCAGTGGGCTCGAGGAAATGGGAAAGGTCTTTGTGGAAAAGCATCTGACTGACCTCCTGGTGAAAGCTCCTCGGATTAGAACAATGAATACCGCGGTTTGCAGATGCTGCCTCACCATCTGAGTGTCTCCAACAGATAAAACCATACAATCTAGAAGCAGTAGACCATTCAGCCCATCAAGTCTGCTCCACCATTCAATGAGATCGTGGCTGACCTGATAATTGTCAACCCCACTTTCCTGCGTTTGCCCTGTAACTCTTGATTCCCTGACTAATTGACAACCCGTCTATCTCAGCCTTGAATATGCTTAGCAACCCAACCTTGACAGCCCTCAGCAATAAAGAATTCCACAGATTCATTACCCTCTGAGAGAAGAAATTCCTCCTTATCTCTGTCTGAAATGTTGGGCCCCTTACTCTGAGATGGTGCCCTCTGATCCTAGACACTCTCATGAGGGGAACCAACCTCTCCATGTCTACTCTGTCATAGAATTATAAAATCCCTACAGTGCGGAAGGAGGCCATTTGGCCCATCAAGTCTGCACTGACTCTCCGAAGAGCATCCCACCCAGACCCACCCCCCTGCCCTATCCCCATAACCCTGCATTTCCCATGGCTAATCACCTAGCTTGCACATACCCTGGACACTATGGGCAATTTAGTACGGCCAGCCCACCCAGTCTGTACGTCTTTGGACTGTGGGAGGAAACCGGAGCACCCAGAGGAAACCCATGCAGATTCTGGGAAAACATGCAAACTCTGCACACAAAATAGCCCGAGGCTGGTATCAAACCCAGGTCCCATATCCCTTAAGACCTTTATTTGCTTACCGAGCTGGCTTGTTCTCGTTCAGACGTTTCGTCACCATGTTAGGTGACATCATCAGTGAAGCCTCCGACGAAGCGATGTTATTCCACTCTGCTTGGAATTTATACTGTCTGGTCCGTTATGGTGAGTACTTTCATTTCCGGTTTTGATCTGTTTGGGTTTGTGTATGGGGTCCAATTCTGTGTTTGTTTATTGAAGTATGGGTGGAGAATCATGCCTCTAGGAATTTCCGAGCATGTGTATGATTGGCTTGTGCTACTTATGGTTACCTTGTCCCAGTTAAACTGATGGTCTTCATTGTCTGCGTGCCGTTTTGCTGCTAGCTGATGTTTGCGTATTCTGATAACTAGTTTCCTCCCTGTCTGTCCGATGTAATGTTTGTGGCAGTCAGTGCATGGTATTTTGTAAACCAATTTGGTTCTGCATGTTGTGGGAACGGGGTCTTTAATCCTTGTAAGTGTTTGTCGTGGAGTGGCTGTGGGCTTGTGGGCCACCATTATTCCTAGTGGTCTTGGGAGTCTTGTTGTCAGTTCCGATATGGTCTTGATGTGGGACAGTGTGGCCAGTGTGTTAGGTCATATTGTGTCCTCTTGTTGTTGTCTGTTTTGTAGGCATCTGTGGATGAAGTTGCGGGGATATCCATTTATGGCGAGGATTTTGTATAGGTGCTCTTCCTCTTTCCTGTGTAGTCCCAGGGTGTTGCAATGTGAGATGATCCGTTTAAATAGTGCCCTAATAATGCAGCTTTGTTTGTGGGCGTTGGGGTGGTTGCAGTGGAAGTTGAGGATTTGATCAGTGTGAGTTGCTTTTCTGTAAACTGAGGTTTGGAACTCCCTGTTGGTCATACATTCAACCCTGATGTCCAGAAACAGAAGTTGATTGTTGTTTTCTTCTTCCCTTGTGAATTTAATCACTGCGAAAACGACACGACAAACTGTCCTTAACATCAGTAAACTCAGACAATGAAGGCCATCAGTTTAACTGGGACAAGGTAACCATAGTAGCATGCACGGGAATTCCTAGAGGCATGATTCTCCATCCGTAATGCAATCAACAAACATATTCTTTATTCATTCATGGGATGAGGGCATCGCTGGCTCGGCAACATTTATTGCCCATCCCTAATTGCCCAGAGGGCAGTTAAGAGTCAACCACATTGCTGTGGGTCTGGAGACACATGTAGACCAGACCAGGTATATAATTGGACCCTATATACAAACCCATACAGAACAGAACCGGAAATGACACTACGTACCATAACGGAGCAGACTGTATCAGAGACCAATCAGTGTACAGATATCTCCCTGAGAGACAGCGCATTATGAGACACCAGTCAGTGTACAGTGTACAGACCAATCAGAGATGTTGTGAACTGAGGGATTACAATGTAGATTTGAAACAATGATACCTGGACCTCGGGGGATTAAGTTATGAGGAGAAATTAGGCCTGTTTTCTCTAAATTTATAATGTTAAGGGGTGATCTGATCGAAGTTTCCAAGATATTAACAGGAAAAGTCAGGGTGGATCAAGATAAACTATTTCCACTGATTGGGGATTCTGGAGGGACTGGGGAACATAGTCTGAGAATTAGGGCCGGGGCATTCAGGAGAGATGTTAGGAAGCACATTGAATGGCGGAACAGGCTGGAGAGGCTGAATGGCCTACTTCTATTCCTGTGAGTCAGCAGGTTAATGGTGTGAGCTCACTTCAAACCCATAATGGAGCCTGAGATTCCTGGGTGATACTGAAGGGGGGTGCTGTACTGTCTGAATGGGCTATCTTTCAGCCAAAGCCTGATCTGTCCCCTCACATAAAACATCCCATGGCCACTATTTGAAATAGAACGGGAGGTGAAGGGGTGCTTCCCGGTACCCAGGAACACTACATCTCAGCCAACACTGGTAAAAGAGGTGACCTGGCCATTATTAATATGGCATCTTGGTGTGTGTACATCGTTGCAATGTAGGAAAACAGTAGCCAATCATTACACCCCCAAAATACTACTTAGGAGCTCTCAAAACACTTCAGAGCCAGAGGTGAAACCTGTCAGAGAAATCTAAATCTTCCTTCATTAAACGAGGAGGGATGATGCTGCTGGCCAGGCGTTGGTGTCATATGATCATGAGATTTTATCGCAAATTGAACCATGCACATTTTTAATGATTTAGTCTTTGATCACTCCAGGGTTAGGGATAAAGAAATCTTTTGTTTATTCACTCGTGGGATGTGGGCATCACTGCCTGGGCCCAGCATTTGTTGCCCGTCCCTAATTGCCCCTTGAGAAGGTGGGGGTGAGCTGCCTTCTTGAACCACTGCAGTCCACGTGCTGTGGGTTGACCCTTAGGGAGGTAATCTCTTGGAACACAATCTCGGCAACAGATAAAGTGGTCATCTCTCACGGAGCTGTTTGTTGAAACTTGCTGCACACAAACTGGCTGCTACATTTCCATTTTGGTCTCACTGTGTTGTGCATGTGCTCCTCAGTCTCCAGCTTTGTCTTTCCTTCATCCCTCCACAATAAGGGAGTGGGGTGGGGGGGAGTAAACCAGTTTCTGTCTGAGTGCTCACAGTTGCTGTGTCATTGCTTTCATGAGCAATGCCTGTGTGTGTTCTTTACCAATGCACTCCTCCTCCCCAGCTGTGAAAGGCTGCCGATTGGAAGAAGCTTTATCTGAACTGGCAGACAAGGAGCAACAGCAGCAAGAGTTATTGGGTCTGTGTGAACAGCTTGGGGATCTCTGCTGTAAGGTGGGATCCTACCGCAAGGCCATCGACTACTACGAGATGCAGGTAACTGGGTCCTGGGTACAAAACCTGCTCCCTGACACCCAACAGGGTCCACACACACTTTCACTGCAAGCTAAGCCTCTACTGGTCCTCTACATCCAAAACATTCAGATCGTTAAAACTACAGAAAGCAGCCATTCAGCCCATCATATCTGTGCTAGCTGTGGCAGCTATTGAGTCAGTCGCAGACACCCAGCCTTTTGTCTATTTATCCAGTTGTTAGATTACTTTAATTGCAGAATGGAATAGATACCGAATCAATTTTGGCCTTTTAAAAAGAAAAATACGACGAGTAGAAAAAGAATTAGGAATTAAAAGACTGATACCTGTCATAATATAGATTTTAATTCTTTTTTTTTTCTTTACAACAATTTTTGACATCGCTGGCTGGGCCCAGCATTTATTGCCCATCCCTAGTTGCCCCTTGAGAAGGTGGTGGTGAGCTGCCTTGAGCTGCTGCAGTCCTCCTGCTGTGGGTTGACCCACAATGCCCTGAGGGAGGGAATTCCAGGATTTTGACCCAGTCACAGTGAAGGAACGGCGATTATATTTCCAAGTCAGGGTGGTGAGTGGCTTGGAGGGGAACTTGCAGGGGGTGGTGTTCCCATATGTTTGCTGTCCTTGTCCTTCTAGTGGTCATGGATTTGGAAGGTGCTGTCCATTGAGCCTTGGGTGAATTTAGTTCCACACTGCTACTAGTGATGACAGAGAGTCTGTGCTGAGGGAGCGCTGCAGTGTTGAGTCCAATAATCAATCAGGTCTCTGTAATGTGAGGTGGTGAACTATGGTTGTCTCAAACTATTGACCCCCTTGTTCATTCTGAATTAGCAACATTTGAACATATCATCATTTATTTTGCTTGTATATCTGGGATCCTGCTGTGAAGCCCCATTCGCTGCTGCATTTCTCAATGGCATGACAATGTGTATACTTAAAAACGATCATTGACTTAGTGGCCTTTGGGTGTGAAATGTATCAGTTTTTTTCATGGAGCTTGGCTGGTGCCAGGGTGGGTATGTCCTAGAGCCCACACTTTTCCCCCCTGGGTGGACTGGGGACTAATACTGTGATCTCCAGGTGCGGAGGTGAGGGAACATGGGGGGTAGTGTGGGTTTCCAGTTCAAAAGGACAGTGTGTTCTGGGATTCTCATGTTCACTCTCTCGCTCTCTCTTCCCTCTGGCCAATTCCCCCATCACTCCCCACCCACCCCTCCACTCTCTGCTTCCCCTTTTTCCCAGCTGAAACATGCCAAATTGTTGAGGAGGCCTGATCGGGAGCTGGCTGTCATTCATGTCTCACTGGCAACCACCTTCGCTGACCTGAAGGATTACAGTCAGTCAGTCAAATATTATGAAGCTGAACTGGCACTGCGCAAGGGAAATCCTAAGGAGGTGAGATCACAGGCTGTGCAAGGTTCGTTCTGGTCTTGTTTACCTGACAGTGATCATTAACAATTTGTATTTACATCCATGCGTTCTTAACAAAATAACATGCCATAGTGCTTGATCAGCATTATAAAGCACATTTGTTTGTATGATATGGATGCCACTGGCTCAGCCAGCAATTAATACCCGTCCCCAGTTGCCCTTGAGAAGGTGGGGATGAGCTGCCTTCTTGAACTGCTGCAGTCCACCTGCTGTAGGTAGACCCACGTTGCCCTCCGGGGCAGGGGGAGAGAATTCTAGGATTTTGACCTAGTGACAGTGAAGGAGCAGTGATATATTTCCAAGTCAGGATGGTGAGTGGCTTGGAGGGGAACTTGTTTGACATTGTGCTGTATGAGGACGTTAGATCAGATGACTTAAAGTTTGGTCTGAGGTCACTTTTAAGTAGCATCTTAAATTCACATCTGCAATTAGTCCCACTCCTTCCCCAGAGCCTTTCAAGTAATTTATCCAGTTCAAAAACAGAAGTTGCTGGAAAAGCTCAGCAGATCTGGCAGCATCTGTGAAGAAAAAAAATAGTTAACGGTGACCTGTCACCAGGCCCGAAACGTTAACTCTGTTTTTTCCTTCACAGATGCTGCCAGACCTGCTGAGCTTTTCCAGCAACTTCTGTTTTTGCTCCTGATTTACAGCATCCGCAGTTCTTTTGGTTTTTATTTATCCAGTTCAGTTCACATCGTTTGTGTGTGTGATTGTTTACGAGTCCATGATGCTGCTTCCCCTTAGACAGAGTGACCCCAGTGCAGTTAGTGAAGAGGTGACATTGGGGCTGGGGAGAACCTTCATTCTCCTTCATGAAGCAGGGGGATGCTAGCATTGTAAATGTCTGTGTTTGTTGTAGGAATGTGAGACCTGGCTAAACATGGCATTGGCTAAAGAAGAAGGTGGAGAATCCTTCAGCGAGTTGGAGAAATGTTACCGGAATGCACTGCAGATTGCTGAGCAGGCTGAGCTACCCCGACTGCAGGTAACTCCCAGTGTGGGCTGTTGGACTGGCTGGGGGCTGTTCCTCTTCAGGATGGGGAGAAGAAACCTCCAACCCTATTGTCTTTCCTCCCTCCCTACCTGACACACGTCAACCCTAACACGAGTGGCTCATCGTGAGGTTGGCAGGGTAGGTGGGGAGAAGCTGTGTGTCCCCTGGCTGAAGACTCTGAAACTGGATAAAGCTCCAGAAGAAGAGACCAATGTTTTTGGAGTGAGATGAGAAGGAATTTCTTTGAAGTTCTCTCCCCAGAGGTTTTTGGGAGCTCAGTCATTGAGTTTATCCAAGACTGAAGTTGATAAATTTCTGGGCACCAAGGTTATTGAAGGTTATAGCAGTAGTTCTGGGCAAGCTGGATGTGAGCTAAGAGTTCCACCATGGTCTGACAGGATAGCAGAGCAAGCTCAAGCGGCTGAATGGCCTCCTCTATTGCTTATGGTCTTTTTGGCAGCAGTATTGTAGAACTGGTCACTACAACTTACCCAGTCAGGACTCAATGTGACCTCCCTGCACCTGGGTTTAATCTTAAGCAGTATCTCCCACAACTTGCTTCATTTTACACTGGAATAACAAGGTGTAGAGCTGGATGAACACAGCAGGCCAAGCAGCATTAGAGGAGCAGGAAGGCTGACATTTTGGGCCTAGACCCTTCTTCAGAAATGGGATTTACACTGGGATTAGTTTTCATTTGTGAGGCTGGGTTGATAAATCTGACTTTAATTCCTAACCCAGCTAAGGGCTGTCTGTTCCCATCCACCCAACAATTATTTCTTTCCTTTGGGATCCTGGTTATTTTCCCTATCTTTATTCTCCCCTCTGTTTCCCCACTCAACCAATTCCCACTGTCCCTAAAGCTAGTCACAGGAACACAAAGAGAGGGGAGGCCATTCAGCCATCTGGCCTGTTCTGTCCATCCAGTCAGATGCTGGGTGATGGCTATGGCTTAGTGTTCCTTGACAATCCACTCCAATGAGAATCAATTGGTTGCTCTCAGCCTTAGTGACCGAGCTCCCCAGCCACAGTCATGGCCCACAGCTTAATGTAAGGTCCTTAACCTGTATCATTGTCTGGAAAGGGCAGTCACATTATCAGAGATTACTAACCGAGGGAATGCTCTTTACTCCAGCAATAGGTGCTGAAGCGTTAACACTGCTTCCTCTCTCCACAGAAACTGCCAGACCTGCCGAGTTTCTCAGGCATTCTCTGGTTTTGTTTCTGGTTTCCAGCATGTGCACTGTTTAGCTTTGTAGCTGCTCTTTTTATTCTCTTGTTTAATGATGGAAAATAAATATTTTCTAATCAACCTGTTTACAGATGTTATTACACACCTCTGTAACTGGTAGGACTTGAATCCAGGCTTCCTGGCCTAGAGGTAGGGACATATCATAAGGCATAGGAGCAGAAATTATGCCATTCAGCCCATCGAGTCTGCTCCACCATTCAATCATGACTGATAAGTTTCTTATCAATTAGAGTCAATTTGCCAACCAGTCAGAGCCCTTTTTTCTCCCATAGTATAAACAGTTACTCTGAAATTTGGCTTTCTTGCATATGTCCTGATGAGTACAGCTTGTTAAGCATCACTCTCTTCACCAATAGAGATAGTAGGAACTGCCGATGCTGGAGAATCTGAGATAACAAGCTGTAGAGCTGGATGAACGCAGGCCAAGCAGCATCAGAGGAGCAGGAAAGTTGACGTTTCAGGTCTGGACCCTTCTTCAGACCTGAAACGTCAGCTTTCCTGCTCCTCTGATGCTGCCTGACCTGCTGTGTTCCTCCAGCTCTACACCTTGTTATCTCTCACTGTCTTCACCAAGGTCTGATTTCTGCAACTGATAGAGGATTACTTTAACAGCTGGTGGTTCTTTTTCATTTTACTTATGGGATGTGGGCGTTGCTGGCTGGGCCCAGCATTTATTGCCAGTCCCTAGTTGCCCCTTGAGAAGGTGGTGGTAAGCTGCCTTCTTGAACCGCTGCAGTCCCCATTCCTAGGCAAACCCACAATGCCCTGAGGGAGGGAATTCCAGGATTTGTTGATTCTGGTGCCTTAAGTCGATGCTGCAGACTGTCTGTTTTCATTTCACTGGGATTCTTGGCGGTTGATACAAATGTATCTTGCTTGGCCATTTCAGAGGGTAGTTAAGAGCTGACTACATTATTATCGGTCTGGAGTCACATGTAGGGCACAGCTGGTAAGGATGGCAGTTTCTCTTCCTTGATGAACCAGAAGGGTTTTTACTGCAATTGCCAGTGGTTTCACCATTACTGAGACTAGCTTTTACACTTGACCAGTTGGTGGGATTCGAGCCCATACATCCACAGCATTAGCTTGGGCCTCTGGATTGCAAGCCCAGTGATATTGCCACTATACCACCAGCTCCTCCTGCGTTCTTATCTACTCCAACACTCTCCGTGTGTACGTGAGAATTTGTTGTGCATGCCGTCAGTCCCCATGCTTGGGGCGCTATCAGGCCAGGATTCACCGTGCTGACTTCTTTCCTGCAGTTGCGATCACTGAAGCTTCTTCACTTGGCACAGCAGAGAATGGGGCATCCCGAGGCCAGTGTCACTCTGGCCCAGTTTGAAGACCTATCTCAGGCCCAGGGCAGTGAGAGTGGGGATGACAGTGATACAGAGGAAATGGAGAACAGTGAGCCGCTGGAAGATAGTGAACTGGAGCTCTCTGACAGCGGTACGTGCCACAGTGCTAATAACTGATAAGCTGCTACAAGAATTCTGTAGTGTCTTCCCTGGGGAGGGAGGTGGTAACGTTGCTGGACTGGTCATTCACAACAAAACCAAATTGCTGGAGAAACTCGACAGATCTGGCAGCATCTGTGAGAAAGCAGAGTTCTGATGAAGAGTTACTGGATTCAAAACAATAACTCTACTTTCTTCCCACAGGTGTTGCCAGGCCTGCTGAGTTTCTCCAGCAATCTCTGATTCTGTTTCAGATCTGCAGCATCCACACTTCCTTGTTTTATTAGTAATCCACAATTCCAGGCTCATGTTCTAGGGACGTGGGTTTGAATTTCACTGTAGCAGATGGTGAAATTTGAATTCAATAAACATAGAACATAGAACATTACAGCGCAGTACAGGCCCTTCGGCCCT